GATTGGATAATATTAGATTGATTATAGTGCTTAGCCAATCAAAATTGAAGTATCTACTAAAATTGAATATCATCTTTAGTAAGGATTTCGAGAAACAGGCCCCAGGTCCCGTGACAAGGGGAAACCACGTCGGAAAATCCAGATGAACCTTCTCGGCCAATGCTGGGATGGAACACCTGACCCCCGGGCTAGCGAGCCAGCGTCTTAACCACCTAGCCACCGTGGTTCCTCAAGATACATGACGTACAGTTTATATCATTGGTGCAAAGCTGTCCAGTCGTTCGGATGGGGCAAAAAACCGAGTTCCTGTATACCTGAGCGTGCACGTACACGAAATCTTGACAGTTTGAATTCGATATAGGAATAGATCATAGTACCGCTCCCCGGGCGCTACCCGGGCAAAATTCCCCTCATAGCATATGATACGACAATTGTCCGTCTTCATTAGCCAGTTCGTGGCAGATAAAGTTCACAAAGAGAAGACTAATCCACTTGTGGTTTTCTAGACAAAGCATAAAGGGAGTACAAGTCCATCCGGAAGTGTTATCATGTCTCAGTATTGAAAGGGATGGGTTCGATTCCTCCATTCAACACCTATAGGCCACTATATCCGTTTTCTCGTGTATCTTTTCAGTTGATTAATCTGTTATATGGGTTTCAATTGTTATCTATATATTGCACCAAATTTTTGTTAAATATCATTATTTGCTTGATAACGATATCTGTATGTGTATCGAAACGTTGCATGTTAAAAAATTCAGAAGTAGTATATCCATATAAGTGTTTTTAATTTGTGAAATCTACCTCTATATGTCTTATAAGGAATAAATGGTTCTTTGTTTCTCATGTAAATAGTGAATGCTCTCTTAGCTAAATCTTAAAATCAATATTATACGTGGGTGTTTAATATCGTTTATTTCCTTATTACACTTGAGAATCAATGCTGCGTTGTCAACCACGAGAGTTATCTGCCAATTAGACAAAAAAATGAAATGAGTGTTATCGTCCTGAATTTCTATGTACCACGCATTTTGTTCTTTGGAAGTGTGGGGGTTGGATGACCGAATGGTTAATCAAAATTGTGCTAATGTATCATATATTAACTTGTTGTATATTGTATTGTATATATCGTTACTTGTTTTATCATAGGCTTAGACATGGGGGTGGGGGGTCGATGGCCGAATGGTTAGTGCGTGCGCGTTGTATCATAAGCGCTGTCATTCAGTCAACTGGCGTGGTTTCGATTCCCCGGTTGTATGTGACAAGGATTAGGTCGCCTGTCAAACCTCATGGTATTTCTCCGGGTTCTCCAGCTTCCTCTCACTGCTTAGGTTACCTACGCACAAGCGAATTATTGAAATATAAATTTAATCATGTGTTAGTGTCGAAATGACCTAGTTTGTACTGAGTGGGCGTCTCTCTCTCTCTCTCTCTCTCCCTCTCTCTCTCTCTCTCATTAGCACGCTTTGTGCAGAAAAGTAGGACGTTAAACCGTAAAACCGTAAAATACAACTTACTAACAACAACAAAACCTCATTTCATCAATGTCAAAACATAACAAAACATAAAAAAAAACCATAACAAAACATAACAAATTTTTTTAAACAAAACATAACAAAAAACATAACAAAACATAAAACAAAAGATAACAAAAAAATAACAAAACAATAACATCTATATCATAGGTAAAACAAATCAAACAGTAATATTCTCCCGAAGAAAAAATATATTTCTTTTTGCCGTGAATAAACATACCGTACCTAATACATGTATTATCACATATCAGAAATATTGCTAAAATCGGAATATTGAATCGCGCATGACTCCAAGATGTGTCTGTTGCCGCAGATTCAGCCCTGAATATGGCCAAAACTTCAAATATTCATAACTTCATAATACAGTAATTTGACTGAAATTTTCAATATATACATTTTTCATTATCTATTTTTTAACTTTTATAACAAGAGAGAGGGAGAGATAGAGAGAGTGAGTGAGAGCTGGAAATGGGTTTAGCGTCCACTCGACACAAATTAGGTCATTTCGGGACTAGCATATGGTTCAATTTTAAGTCAATAATTCGCTTGCGCGTAGGGGTCTTTAGCAGTGGGAATAATCCGGACGACCCGGAGAAATCCCACGCAGTTGGACAGGCGACCCTACTCCTTGTCACGTACAAACGAAGAATCGAAACCACGCCAGTTAACTAAATGACAGACCTTATGATACATCGTCCACATGCTAACCATTCGGCTATCCAACCCCCCTGACCAATCTTGCATTGGCCCGGTCGATGCAGAGCAGTTGGACATTAAACCTCATTTCATCTTTAATTTACCATGCGGGTAATAATGCCACGCGTGTTGGCGAGTGTAAGGGACTACAGATCAGTTTTCCTGTATGAAAATCTGGTGAATGTAGTTGTTAATTATTAAATAGACTGATGGTTTGTTATCGATATGTATTGATATCTACCATAGCGTGTTCTATATAATCAATTAACACCAATACTTACCTAGATTACCAAGGGACTCATAGATATTTCTATAGTAATGCACATCATACAAACTGGAACGAAAAATGAAATGAAATGAAATGGGGTTTAACGTCCTACTGTTCTGCTCCAACTAGGCTAATGAAGACGGGCATACGCCATACAGTGTGCTATGAGGGAAATTTTGCCAGGACAGCGGCACTACGGCCTACTCTTATATCGAATTCCAACTGTCAAGGGATCTTTTACGTGCATTCCAATGTGTACACGGAAACTCGTTTTTTTGTCCCATCCGAACGACTAGACAGCTGTCCTTGTCAGGCCCTCCGTCCTGCATCACTGACAAGGGGGTAGCACGCCGGAAAATCTGGATGAACTTTCGCGGCCAATGCAGGGATCGAACACGAGACCTCCATGCTAGCGAGCCAGCGTCTTACCCACTTAGCCACTGTGTCCCCCTACAAACTGGAACACTGTAGGTGAGAAATGGGTTTGTGTTGTCTTATAACATTACCGGAAACCAGTAAAAACTTCTAGCTTATGTCGCCTACGAGCGGAAATAGATTTAAATCTCACAGGTCAAGGTCTTGGGCGTAACTGCGCCTTCATCGCCATCAGCACGTTCGACCAGTTTCGCCATGTGACAATGCAATAATATCGGAAACCAGTAAAATGCTTATGTCGTCTGCGAATAGGGATAGGTAAAAACTGTTATACCAGAGTCGTAATTATACTCACGTCTCCAGTGGCACGCTAGTTTTGCTAACTAAAGCAGGTCCGTAACTGTGGGGGGGGGGGGGAGGCAAAGCCCCTCTTCAAAAAGTTTTAACCCCCACCCCCACCCCCCGCTTGGATGAAATTGTCGACCATTAAAAAAATATACATTGTCAGTCAATTTTACAGCTCTCCTGGGAACACTTTCCACCCGCCTCGTTGCGCTGATCTCAGGGGCGCAGATCGCCAAAAATTAGTGGTGGGGACAGTCCATGCGCGGGCGACTATTGGTAAACCAGACGCTCTAAAACGCACTCCGTAGGTATTTTCAGCATCATTTTTCTTTCATACAGAGTCGGGCCCGTAGGCTGGAAGCAAGGTGGGCGGGTTCGTTTGTGAAAGAAAAGGACCGACTATATAACCGAACGCCGATGACGTAAGGTGCTAGGGGTGGGGGGGGTCTTTTAGAATTTTTTGAATTTTTGTTACAAAATGGTGTCTAAATATACATTCTCAACGATTCTGAGGAGTTTTTACCAATAACAATATAGTTCAGAAAGCAATTCTTTAATCGAAAAAAAAACATTCAATAAAGTGTTTAATATATTTAAAACTGAAGAACAGAACACTTATATCCACTCTACCCGTTTCTTTTCCCTTCTTTCTGGACGGCCCAGGACAGGTTTTAAAAAATGTCTTTTCAGATAAATTTTCTAAATTTCTAAACCATCTTCAAAAAAATTTCAGTAACTTGTAATAATAAGTACACGATTCTTGCCTCAGCTTACTGTACTCCAAAAAATAGAGGGTTCGAGTCTTAAATTTTAGATTTAATTGCCTATATTCAACAGAGAGAGATAGAAACCAGTCTTTAAAAATACGTTTGGCAGCAAATCTAGCAATGAAGGGTTCCCCTGATATACAAACTAAATCCTTTAGTTAGGTGATTTATCATCCAGTATACCAGATAAAAACAAAATCACAGTTATCATACCAAGCGTATCAGATATGCACACCTACATGATATACATATTATTATAATCCATATGGAATATTTTAATTATTTACTGTTATAATATGAATTATCACTTATTCCCTGTTAAATAAAAATCGGTCACCGGGTGCAGCTGTACAACTTCAAGGACCCTGGCCACAAGTGCCTGGGACCAACTCTACACTTTCTAAAATGTCAATAAAAGCTCTGGAATGATTTCAATTTAAAAAAATTACAGTAAGCAAAACATCGGAAATAAGTGGTGGGGACACAGTATATCATGTCCCCACCACTAAAATTATTGGTGGGGACGCGTCCCGGTGTTCCCACCGGGATCTGCGCCCATGGCTGATCTAGTTACGGCCATGGACTGAAGCCCACGCAACGTGATTAAAAAATGGCGACACCTATGGTGAAATATCCTATGGCTTGTAACCATAATGTTAACCCAGAATTCCCGTTAAGTGACTGCCGTTTAGAAATGATTCCCCCAACCCCCACCCCAACCAATCTGTCGGATCTCACAACCCGGGCTGATTTCCATTTTATATTTATATAGTTTTAATGTTTTCTTTCTGTGACACAACATTTATTGATATCCATTTAATTTTATTTTTAGGTTTTTTTTTACTACTGTTACACAAAATGTTCAGCTGAAGAAATATCAACAATCTCTAGTTTTTACCGTCATTAGTCAAGAAATTAAAACAGTAGTCAAGGTTACGACATCACAGACAAAATGGAACATGACCGTGAACTAAGTCAAATTTCTAAACCAGAAGAATTTGAGCCACATCAAAAAGATCATGAAGCCGTCAACAATGTATACATAAAACAGAAAAGAAACCTCGCTGCCGTGTCTCAGACGTCACTTCCGGGTAAAAGCGGAAAACAAGAGGAGCCTCTGGCCATATGTAAATTCATCGTTAGACGTCCAAAATTAGCCTTTGGTAAGTAGCTGATCACTGCTTATCTCTCGTTGTTTTTGTAATTAGTGTTTCAATCCGCTTCAAACGAGGGTGATATCGCAGAAAGATCTTATTCTATTATATTTAGCGCAAGCGTATGTGTCTTTACTGTGGGAGGAAAGAAGCTGTATCCCTCTCTGAAATTTACTTATTTGACAACTTATTGTTTACATTTTTACACCATTTTTACAACTTTTCATGAAAACTAAACCATTTTTGCTAAAGTGTCAGAGCAGTCCGCCACGACGGCATGAAAAGTGCTACGTGACCCCAGCTGAGGTCGCGACACAGAGGTGGGGAATCCAGGCAGTTCTATTATCGACACTTTTCGATGAACAGAAACGACTAATAAAACCCATTTGATTGGTATTCCTCGATACGTTCCGGATAATCTACTTGTTAAGCAATTCATAGTACCATGGCAACGGTGTTTGTCCATGACACTGAACATTTAAGGTGAAATGAAACGAAACATGGTGTTCAACTCCCTACTGTTGTGCCCCAACTGGGCTATTTAAGGGCTAAATCTATTTGTTAAAGCCAGCCCAATGTTTGTCAAGGTCGCTGAGATGTAAATAAGGTTAGGGCACGTGATTGTTGGCGAGATTGTAGGTTAGGGTTAGGTTAAACATTGGGACTAGGTCAAGGGTTAGGGTTAGGATTGGAATTAGCGCTAGCCTTGATTAGCAGTGAGGGGAACCGAAGGACTCGAAGAAAACCCACGAGGTTGGACAGGCGACCCTACTCCTTGTCATGTACAACCGGGGAATCGAAACCACGCCAGTTGACTCAATGACAGACCTCATGATACAGCGCGTACGTGCTAAACATTGGGCCACCCACCCTCCAAACGGAGCAGAACAGTAGGACGTTAAACCCAATTTCATTTCATTTATTTGGTTTCCTTTCTATTGTTCTGAAATGCGACACCACAAAATGTACAACATATCTGTTGACTCTAATTGATGGAATACACAAACACTTATAATTAAAATTCTACCTCTACCTTAATTTCGTTTCGTTTCTTTGGTAATGCCTGAAATTTTTTAATATGCCGCCATGTAGATCTATTGACTGTCATGAAATATCACACCAAAGAAAATATTGATATAGGTATACTCTTTCGGTCTAATTAAAATTATATCAACATTTAAATTCGATTCCATAGTTCTACACTAGCATATAGGAGCAATGCAGAAGATGCCACTAATACGTTATTAGGGTGACCCACCATAAATAAATATCCCCAAATATCTCGACAATTACACCACAATATTTATATATACACCAAGCCTTAAATCAGCTTCAAACATTTATAGTCACTAATCAAACGGGCATGTTGTACTTAATAAGCTATGACCATTTAACCATCTATAAATAATACACTGAAAGATGGTTACATGTGTCGGCCATAACACCCGGGCACTTGTGAGTAAAAAAATAGGTTACGTGCCCTTGTTTTGAAATTCGTCTCGCTTAACCAGTCTACCGACCATTCTACATTTGATTGACAGGCCGGGATAATCAATACTACTTTTTAACGAAACAACAGAAAGCTGGAACAAGAAATTGAATTTAGGGACACGCACGTTAGGCAACCCAACAATTGTTTTAACAACCCTGTAAAAGTAAAATGAACCTAATGCTAGTATCATGTTCTTTCCCAACGCAAGTCTTTCAGAGATATTATTTGTACTAAACCAACAGATGCTGCACCTAACGGTACAGTTAATGATAAAGCAATTTAAAAAATAAATCGAACGTAATTTCTAAAGCTGCCGTAATTGCACGTCCGATGGCTATTTATAGGCCCATAGACTCTAGTGCTGAGTATTATCATACTGCGTGGTTAAACAGAAATCACTTCGAGACAAGTCACTGAAGCGTGAACATTCGCAGTGTCGAGTCCAACTTTCTGTAGAGAAAATTTTCACTCACATTCAAATTACTTTATTCTGAGCGAAGTTATCACCGTTCGGAATTTGACAAAATGCTACATAAATTGTTTATTATCTTAACAACGGTACTTGTTAATCGAGACAATGATTAATGAATCAGTGTTGACGTTTCTAGTCGTTTACCCATAGTTCCATGCATCGCATGCCAAGAACCCGCCATAACAGGCCGTTTCATTGGCTAATTCATCACTTTAACCAGAACGCGTGTTATTTAACAAGTCTTCCAGGTCCTAATGTAGTAAAGACAAGTAAAACGAAATTTTGAACTATAAAAAAAACGAAACGAAATACGATCTGTGTTTTAATCAGATTACAGCAATGCCAGAAAGGAAGACATTTTAAATAGGCCTATGTCAAAACAGAGAAATAAACTTTTTATCCAGATTAAGTAGAACAGGCACCGGGTTCACAAAGCATTCTCAGACTTAAGTTCAGAATTTACTCAACTTTCAATCATTGTTTATAAGACACATCATTCATCCAAAAACACAAAAATTTAATACGTTAAAACAACAAAAGTTTTATAAAGGGATATATTTTAGTTAAAATAAGGTGAACATTTTTGAGTAAATTCTTAACTTAAAGTTACAATTTCATATTTTCTAAGAAAGTCAAAACATAATTATTTCTATGTCTTTTGCTTAATAGGTTGTCAACTCACAATTATACGGTCATAGGTGTCATTAAAACTCATTTACACCGGAAATAATAACACAATTACCTCCCAATTACCTCCCTTGTTTTCTATTCTCCACCATGGAGTAGTTATCTTCAAACGTTGGAATTTGAAGATGAAAATGATATTTTTGCCAATTTCTCAACTGACAGTAGTGAATTATAGGATTAATTAAATTGAATTTCACTGTTTGGTTGATTTGAACCGTGAAATGTGAAATGAATGCCCCTCCCCTCCCAAACAAATAAAAAAACATGCTCTTCCCAGATCACCCGATAAATGGTAAAAAGTCTATCCCAGATTTTGAAGATACTTTGAAAAAAAGATCAATGTTTGCAAATGTCGATTTCGTAATACAAATAGCAGACTTGCATCAATAATCCTTTGTTCCATCATGTTTGTCGTAAGATGGTTGACGCCCAATCCAATCAATAAGGTATTTTTATTAAGGAGAGAGAGAAATGAGGTTTAACGTCCACTCGACACAAAATAGGTCATTTCTGGACTAACATATGGTTTAATTTTATTTCAATAATTCGCTTGTGCGTAGGGGTCTTTAGCAGTGGAAGGAAACCGGAGGACCCGGAGAAAACCCACGAGGTTGGACGGCGACCCTACTCCTTGTCACGTACAACCGGGGATTCGAAACCACGCCAGTCGACTCAATTACAGACTTTATGATACAGCGCGCACGTGCTAACCGTTCAGCCATCCACCCCACCCACCCCCAATCAATAAGGTATTTTTATTAAGGAAAGAACAGACATGCCTGAAATAGGTTTAGAGTAAACAAACAAAAATCTTGTACAAAATATTACTTAAACATTAAAGGCATCGTCCCAGATCATTTAAATCTGTGTGGAAGAACGCTTTACACTAACCCAGCAGAACTTTCTGAACCTCTGTGGTAACCGGTTCATCTTCGCTTTGTGGGTGATAGATTGACGCTAACCCTAAGTATCTAGATGAATCTGCCCGTTCGATAATCCACGGTGGCTAAGCGGGTAAGGCACTGGCTAGCACCTGGAGGTCTGTGTGCAAGAACGCTTTACCCTAACCCTGCACGACTTTCTGAACCTCTGTGGTAACCGGTTCATCTTCCCTTTGTGGGTGATAGAGTGACGCTAACCCTAAGTGTCTAGATGAATCTGTTCGTTCGATAGTCTGCGTCCACTGAAATAGATAGTTCTCTATCGTCCTTCTGTAAAGGGGAACCACGGTGGCTAAGTGGGTGATAGATTGACGCTAATCCTAGGTGTCTAGATGAATCTGATCGTTCGATAGTCCACGTCCACTGTATAGATAGTTCTCTACCTTCCATTTGTACAGGGGAGCCATGGTGGCTAAGTGGGGAAGATGCTAGCTCGCTAGCCTGGAGGTCACGTGTTCGGTCCCTGCATTGGCCCTTTCGATCAGTGGGCACCTTGATTTCCATTTATCCCCGCCAAATTTTTCGATTTAATTACATGACCATGTGTTTTCATCTATTTATCCCCCTCTCTCTCTGGTACCCTGTGAAATCTAAGACAACAGAGAGAGAAATGGGGTTTAACGTCCACTCGACACAAATCAGGTCATTTCAGGACTAACATGTCAATTAAACCACGTCACTTGACTCAATGGCAGATCTTGTGATTTCACGCGCAGACATTAAACCACTAGCCTACCCCCCCCCCCATCCCCGCCCCCCTAAGCCAAAAGAACATAGCTAAAAATCAATAAAGTGACGCGTTTGATATTTACACTGTGATTAGCTGTTTATTGATTTAAAAAAAAAACGGTGTAGAACTTTACTTTATAAAGGTCAATTTCCTGCGGCATCTAAAAACACTTTGGAACTGTTCGATCATGTTCAGCTTTGTCACGTTCACCAAGACAAATATGAAGATATGAAAAATATGATATCCGAAACCCACCTAATTGTTAAAAAATCCATAAAAGGCTTCCTTAGAGTACGTGTACATGTAAATTTTAAAGTAGACGCTGGCTCGCTAGCCTGGAGGTCGGGTGTTCGATCCCTACATTGGCCGAGAAAGTTCATCCACATTTTCCGACGTGATTTCCCCTTGTCAGTGGTGCAGAACGGAGGGCCTGACAAGGACAGCTGTCTAGTCCTTCGGATGAGACGAAAAACCGAGGTCCTGTGTATACATCGGCTTGCACGTTAAAGATCCCTTGAATTTGTAATTCGATACATCAGTAGGTCATAGTGCCGCTGGCCGGGCAAAATTTCCCCCATACCACACTGTATGGCGTATGCCCGTCATCATTAGCCCAGTAGGAGCAGAACAGTAGGACGTTATACCCCATTTCATTTCATTTCATTTCTGTCCAGAAAATTAAGACGCTAAACTCCATTTCATTTGTATGTGTACGGTATTAATTGTTGGTTTTTTTTGTGTATTTTAGGTTTGACTTTAGGATGGAATGTATTTGTCATGTTTCTGTCCGCCATTTTAATTCAAACCGGATATGACCTTATACCTATTGACTTCGCGGGAATTCCATTGAATATACTGGAAGATCGAGCGTTTTTACGAGTAAAGGCCTGGATGAACCGAGGTGAAGATGGCACGGTCCTCTCAAATGGAGCTGATGTCGGCGGAGAAAGAAGTAGCGTAGCAGACAGTTTGCAAATATTCTACCAAGCCGATAATGTTTTTACCCAAGAACATCTCCAGACGATTTCGGATTTTGAAACCAAAATATTGTCAGTAGCAAACTTTGGGAAATATTGTAAAGCCGATTCTAGAAGCCCAACAAATAACTGTTCTAAGCCGTTATCCATTCTTCGCTTCTTTGACGGTACGTTTGGTCCGACGTTCAACGATCCCACATTTTCGGACATCGTTGGGAAATTATCAGCCGCTCAGAATTCACCCAAACTCAATGAAGTTTTACAGTTTTATTTGGGAAAGGAGGCGGTGATAAACAGTACCACTGCCACGGCAAAATCCTCCATCACAAGATCCATGATACAATTCGGATATCCGCTAGCAGGATATGACGAACAGACAGGAGACGTCGATGAACAACAGAAAAAAGTTCAAACATTTTTGGTAGAAAATGTGAGGGATTTATTAATAGATGCGAATGAAAATGGATTATCGGGATTAACGGTGACGTATACCAGTGGACAGCTGTTCAGTTATTTGATCCAGTCGCAAGTGATAAAGGATTTAATGTTAGCTGCTGGGAGTTTTCTTTTCATCTTCATCTTCATGCTAATACAAACCCAGTCTCTGTTTATAACTTCTTGTGCTGTTGGTGGTATCTTGATCAGCTTTCTTGGAACCAACCTCGTCTACAGGATCATCCTTGATTACCAATATTTTGGAATCTTTCACGTCCTTTCTATATTCATTGTCCTGGGAATTGGTGCCGATGACGTGTTCGTGTTTAATGATACGTGGAGAGCCACAGCACATGAAAAGCACGAGCGATTAGATGAAAGATTGTCATCTTGTTATCGTCGAGCATCTAAAGCCATGTTGATAACATCTTTAACCACCACAATCGCTTTCATCGCCAACGCTTTTAATCCCATGCTAGCTATTTCATCTTTTGGCATCTTCTCCGGGATTCTGGTTATGGTGAATTATCTGTCCGCCATCACGTTTTTCCCGTGTGTCGTTATCATCTACCATCTATACTTCGAGAACTGGACATGGCCTTGCTTCAGATGCTGCAAGAAGAAGGTTGAGCCGACCAATTTAACGGATGCTGAGAAGTTTGATGGCCACAGAAAGAACCTCATCGTGCGGTTCTTCCGGGGTCCATATTACTACTTCGTGGTGCATAAGGTAGCTCGATGGGTGTTACTCGTGTTATCTTTGGGGCTGATAGTATTTTTTGTGTATATGGCTACAACCATTGGCCCACAAGAAGAACAGGTGAGTGCTATATAAATATAGAGAATCTGTAACAGAACTTAATTTCTATGGGACTCAATATGGGAAACGCCGCTATAGGAGCTATATCCCCTTCCCCTGCTTTGCACACGTAACCATAGCAATGGAATTGACCATCAATAGATCTCAAAATGAACGAAGTATTGCGTTGACTAGACTTTAAGCCCCATTTCAATAAACACATTATGTCAGTCGGCGGTTTAATATCATCTTTCATCGCTATAGGCTGTTTTCTCGAATTAAAAATTCCAGATGAAATGAAATAAAATGGGGTTTAACGTCCTACTGTTCTGCTCCTATACTGGGCTAATGAAGACGGGCATACGCCATACAGCGGCACTATCGCCTACTCTTATATCGAATTCCTACTGCCAAGGGATCTTTTACATGGATTCTAATATATAGACTGGACCTCGGTTTTTCGTCTCATCCGAAGGACTAGACAGTTGTCCTTGTCCGGCCCTCCGTCCTGCATAATTCTAGATGAGGTGGGAGCCGTGGTGACTCGGTGAGTAAGACGTTGGCTCACTAACCCGAAGGTCCCTTTTACAACCCCATATAGAGTTGACAGTTTATTGGGACTTTGCGATGTGCCCACCTCCGCAAGGAACAACGTATATTCGTTCGGGTAGGACGATACTCCTATACCCAGGTCCCGTAAACACATTGGCATGAGCGTAGAAAAACCCTTTACAGTTGGAATTCCAAAAAAGAGTAGACCGTAGGCACCCCCTCCCTCATGACACACTCTATGACGCATACCCGTCTTTACCAGTCCAGTCGTTACAGAAAAGTAGGATGGTAAACCCCGTTTCATTTTATTTCAAAAACGGTGTTTGACAATTATCCTCTAAATGTCACTTAACGAATCTTATAATTATTCTCTGGGATATCAAACGACAGTCAGTAATGTAAACTAGGAATAGTCTTCAGCCGCTACATCTTCTGTTTGAATTGTTTGTCAGGATTATGAAGGTTGTATGTTCTTGTTCTCTCCTAATGATTACCAATAGACTATCGATTATGAAGATTGTATGTCTTTATTATCCCCTGATTATCAAAAGATTATCGATTATGAATATTCCGTGTCCTTGTTTTCCTTTGATGATTATCAATAGATTATCGATTATTGTACATACATTTTTAATATTAGATTAGTTATTAGGCGTTACACGAGTGGGAAATAATGTTGATGTTGATGTTGATGTTGATCTTAGAATCTGTTTTTCATGTTGGTATGTTTAGAATATGTCACCACACATCATCCATAATAACTCAATAAACATTGAAGTAGCTAAGTCCGTAACTCAATATCATCAAAAATCTTCGACATTGAAAACACGAATTTTTTTGCCATTTAAATCAGCATTGGTGTTGTGGTCTTACCTGGAAAAGATGGGCTTCTGATATCCAATATTTAAGACAAAATAAACATTTCACCATTGGTACACGAATCGTGTACCATAATGCGTTTCAGCGCCATTTGTAACAAGGTGCTCAAAGAATGAGGCTAGACATATTCCACAAGTCATGTCAAACGTTGATATCATGTTCTTATTTGGAGAGCATGCGCAATAAATAATATCGGTGTTAATTGGGATAACCAGACGCTAGAAACTGATTTGAGGTTCAGACTTCTGGCGTATTTCGCTGAAAATAACTGATGACAATTCACAGTAAAACGGACACGAATGAATGTAAAACAGTTTATATACATTCATATTACATTATTATATGCGTTGCGACCCATTTGTGCCAATTTCTAGGTCCAAAATATTAGCGATTTAGCTCCTTTAAGTATTATAATCTTTAAATGGCATTTAGTGACTGGATAGAGTAAAACAAAAACAAGCTGGAAAACAGCTACTAGTGTATTTAAATATTAGTTTCACCATTAAATAATCTAAGAAAATGTACCATTATATTTCTGTTAAGGTGTTCAATCGGGAAGAAAAGGGGGAGGGCTGCGCTTTAGATCATAAGATCTGTCATTGAGTCAGTTTGTTGGCTTTCGATTCCACACGTGTACGTGACAAAGAGTAGCTTCCCCTGCCTAAAATCGTGGGTTTTCTCGGACCCGGTTTCCTCCACTGCTAAAGACTTTATGTTAGTCCCGAAATGACCTAGTTTGTGTCAAATGGACGTAAAAATACACCAATATTATTTATAGTGTGTTGAAATAAAATTGAACCATGTGTTAGTCCCAAAATAACCTAGTTTGTGTCGAGTGGACGTTAAACCTCACCCTCTCTCTCTCTCTCTCTCTCTCTGGGGGCTGATGTTAACCCACACTTCAAGTCAAGGTTACATACACAAGAACACAAATAAAATATGAATTTATGATCAATAATCTACTGTTTTTATTTCAGATCCAATTTTTGAAAGACAGCAACAATTTTCAGAAAGCAACGAATTTAAACTTGCAAGGGTTCCGACCTAGTTCCGACGACAATGTCATCAAGGTTTATATCGTCTGGGGTTTGAAACATCAAGACCTAAGTGCCTGCCATAAAACAGATTCTAAATGTAAAGGAAAAACGGTTTGGGATGACGGATTTGATTTAAATCCAAAACCCGCCCAAATGTCTCTGCTGGTAGGTATAGCTCACTTCGTCAGAAAGGTTCAGACGACGCAGGTACTCACGAGAAATTGGGTCAAACCGGGAATCGAACCGGGTCAAATCTTGCTCCACAACGGAAATAAATCTCTTCGATGGCATGACTTGTTCTACTCGCGCCAGTGTTAGTTAATACATTTCTCTTATCCCGGAAGCTGTCTTTTCCCGGAAGCTGTCGTATTCCGGAAGCTCCCGAAGCTGTCTTATCCCGGAAGCTGTCTTGTCCCGGAAGTTTCCGAAGCTGTCTAATTAATATAAACGTTTTTATATATCTCAATTACAGCAACTGTGTAAAAGAATTGAGGATATGACGGATGAAGAAAATGGTGATTTAAAAATTCGGAGAAATTCGATTACAGGAAAATTAGAAGTGAAATGTTTTCTCGACAGGATAAATGACTTTCTAATTGTAAGTTTAATCATTAGGGCCGTAACTAGCTCAGAGCAACGAGGGTGGGGGGGGAGCGGGATGTGTTCTCAGGGGACACTGTATATCTAGGGTTTTTTATGGGCGAATCTTTTTGTGTGGGGGGGGGGGACTGTGGCCATTCTGATTAAAATACAGATCTATATTTCGTTTCGTTTTTTATACTTTCGATGGCCTACACTACATGGATATCTGACCGGTTGTAGTGGAATGTCGCGTCAGGGGTCGTAAGAGTGGCATTTGACCCAATGACGTTAGACATTGATTAAGTAATTAGCATTGACGTTTCTAGTGTCATGCCAAGAACTCGCCGTAACAGTCCGTTTCATTGGCTAATCCCTAATTTCAACCAGAACGCGGTGTGTTACGAGGGCAATTGTGACAAAACAGCGGCACTACGGCATACTTTTATATCGAATCCCTTTCACAGAGGATCCTTGCAATGCCTCATTTGGATCTTTTTTGTTGTGGGTGGTGGGTGGTCGAGTAGTTTAACACTTCTGTTTTAGATCATTAGGTCTGTCATTGAGTCCATTGGCCTGGTCTCGATCTCAAGTTTGCACGTGGCATGTGGGTTTTCTCCGGGACCTCCAGTATCCCCCACTGCTTAAAGCAAACTACGCACAAGCGAATTATTGAAATAAAATTGAACCATATGTTAGTCCCGAAATGGCCTTGTTTGTTTTGAGTGTACTTTAAACCCCATATTTTATATTTCGCTATATTTAATTTTCAGAACGAGGGTAATGATACATCTCTATACTCACCAACTGTCGACCTGAGCCTACCTACGTCAGAAACCAAAATGGCGACTTTTATGGGTGCACATCCTGAACTATACAATATGTCCGCCGTTTCGCCAAATTTTTACAGATATTTTGAGGTGAGTTCTGTCGTTATGGATACCACTTTCTTCGAATGGTTAGCTGCTTAAACAGTAAACTTTATTTAGATTATTGATTTAATGAATAGTTTGTTTCTTCGAAGAAAGAGTCATTCTAAAATAACGTGAAAGATAGGCTCTCGGTTCTGTTGGCTTGAATTATACTGATTCATACGGAAGACCATTAGGGTCAATCAAATGAAAAGCAAATATTCAGATTTCCACATAATATACAATGTGGCTGAAGAGAGAGGGGGTGGGGGTAACATCCACGCGACACAAACTAGGTCATTTCGGGACTAACATATGGTTTAATTTTATTTCAATAATTCGCGTGCGCGTAGGGGCCTTTAGCAGTGGGAGAAAAACCCACAAGGTTGGACAGGCGACCCTACTCCATGTCACATTCAACCGGGGATTCGAAACCACACCAGTTGGCCCAATGACAAGCCTTATGATACAGCGCGCATCCACCCACCCCCACCCCCCTTCCCCCTTTAGAAATGACTTATGGACATAATTTAGCGCTATATAAGAAAATTATTATTATTATTATTATTATTATAATTATTATCTTGTAATTACAAGATAATTATTTATAAGTCTAATAATAAAATGTATAACATATCCGCAGCGTCAGACAGTCAGTATGACGTATGAAAACGACGTCATCCAATCAGAGAGAGAGAGAGAAATGGGGTTTAACGTCCACTCGACACAAACTAGGTCATTTCGGGACTAACATGGTTTAATTTTATTTCAATAATTCGCTTGCGCGTAGGGGTCTTTAGCAGTGGGAGGAAACCGGAGGACCCGGAGAAAAGCCACGAGGTTGGACAGGCGACCCTACGCCTTGTCACGTACAAGCGGGGATTCGAATCATCCAATCAGAATATGTCGTCATATGTATATAATTTAATATATTTCATTAGACAGGAATGTCCTATTGGTTGAATAATGGATATAGTGGTGTGACGTCTTATGATTTCCGGGAATACAATAAGTTGATTGGTGTAGTTAATGATACGTTTGATACACAACTAATTTCCAATTCATCGGGTAAGCTGAAAATATATTTAAACATTAAAACTCTGATCCTCTCTTGTACAGAACCCTACTGATATACAAACGTTATTCGTCAGGGGTGGAGTCTGCGAGGATGAGACTGACAAGGAAAGTGTTCTCAGTCGTTCGGATAGGACGGCAACCCGAGGTCCCGTGTATACATATAGCGAAGGAGAGAGAGAGAGAGAGAGCGAGGGGGGGTGGGGTTAACGTCCACTCGAAACAAACTAACATATGGTTCAATTTTATTTCCATAATTCGCTTGCGCGTAGGGGTCTTTAGCAGTGAGGAGGACCAGGGGAATGAGGAGAAAATCCACGAGGTTAGACAGGCGACCCTACTCCTTTTCACGTACAACCGGGGAATCGAAACCACGCCAGTTGACTCAATGACAGGCCGTATGATACAGCGCGCACGTGCTAACCATTCGACCGTTCACCCCCCCCCCCCCCCGAAATCAAAGGGTAGACAGAAATAGCGTTGTCTGGGTGCTGCGCACGCAAGCATAGAGATATAAAATGTTGTCCCAAAACGACCAAAGTATTGTGTTAACTCTGGGTCATTTTTTGACAAACATTTTTATTTCAATAATTCGCATGTGTGTGTCCTTAGCAGTGGAGGGAAACCGGACGACCAGGAGAAACCCCAACTGGCGTGGTAACGACTCCATCTAGAGTATATATATAGAGATATTCAAGTCCGTAGAATAATGTATAAAGTAATACAAGATCTTGATTGAAATTATTTATTCATAAACCTCTAAATCAAAATTTTCCATAATATTCGAAATTAATATTAGAAGACTTTCGTAATCCTCTGTGAAACAGATTGGCCAGTGGGTTATCACACCTTAGTTGTATTGACACCAGTGGGTTATCGTACCGTAGTTGTATTGACACCAGTGGGTTATATCGCACCTTAGTTGTATTGACACCAGTGGGTTATCGTACCGTAGTTGTATTGACACCAGTGGGTTATATCGCACCTTAGTTGTATTGACACCAGTGGGTTATCGTACCTTAGTTGTATTGACACCAGTGGGTTATATCGCACCTTAGTTGTATTGACGTTTTTGTATTCTATTGATTTCAGTGAATATAACTCCTTAGTGGTATTGATCTTTTTTTTTCGTTTAAGAGTACACGCCATGGCCTAATATTTCTATGTAAGACAACAATCCATAATCAATTTTATAATAAATATTGTGTTGTCATTAGAAACAACTAGCGATCAATAAAACCTTAAAGCCGTGTTTCCAGGGACAACAGTCGAGTTAAATTTCTTTATAGTTCAAAATTTAGTTTTACTTGTCTTTACTACACTAGGATCTGGAGGAGTTGTTATCATTGATGTGTTTTGAATGATGTGAGGGAAAAGCCAATGAAACGGTCTGTTACGGCGAGCTTTAGGCGTGTTTTGCACGGAACTGTGGGTAATCCACCCATAACATCAATGCTGATTGGTTTATCAAGTGTCCGACGCGACCTATCGCTACAACTGGTCAGGTCTTCATGTAGTGTAGGCCATCGAAAGTTTAAAAAAAAACGAAACCAAATATAGATCTGTATTTTAATCAGATTGTGCAAAGTTATGAGTATTTGAAGTTTTGACCGATTGTGCAAAGTTATGAGTATTTGAAGTTTTGACAAGATTTAGCTTTAGCTCTTAAATGGCCGCTATATTCAAATCTACTTAATAATCAGAGCGATACCGAGGTCCCGTGTATACATTAGAATGCACGTAAAAGATCCCTTGGCAGTTGGAATTCGATATAAGAGTAGGCGATAGTGCCGCTGCCCGGGCAAAATTTCCCTCATAGCACACTGTATGGCGTATGCCCGTCTTCATTAGCCCAGCATATTATAATCAGATTGTAATCTGGCTGGATCGAACAGAAGTTCATCACTCGTTTTATGAAACGGTTTTCATTAGATCAGTCGGGGCAAAACAGTAGGACGTTAAACCCCATTTCATTTCATTTCGTTTGAAGAAAGACAGATTTTCGTCCATCACCAGATAAAAGACCAATTATTTGAATGTAACGATACTGTATGATGTAATAATGAAAGGAAATGGAGTTTAACGTCCTACTATTCTGCTCCGACTAGTCTAATAAAGGAGGGCATACTCTATACTGTGTGCTATGAGGGACATTTTGAACGGACAGCGGCGCTACGACCAACTCTTATATCGAATTCAAACTGCCAGGGATCTTTTACATGCACGCCAATGTGTCGGGAGCCGCGGGGGCTCAGTGCGTAAGGCGCTGACCCAGTAATCTGGCAGTTCCGGGTTCGATCCCGGTGTTGACTGATAAAATTCCTCAAGATTTGTCAACCTGGTTATTCCCCGTTAGTGGTGCAGGACGGATGACGTCCTAAGGAGAAAAACGTCTAGTCGTTCGAATGGGGCGTAAAGTCGAGGAAAATCCATGTACTCTGGCGTGCATGTAAGATAACCTATATGACATGACGTAGGCCGTAGTGCCTGTATTGTCCGACGTGGTTACCCCTTGTCAGTGATGCTGGACGAGCCTGACAAGGACAGCTGTCTAGTCGTTCGGATGGAACGAAAAACCGAGGTCCCGTGAATACATTGGCGTGCACGTAAAAGATCCCTTGACAGTTGGAATTTGATATAGAGTGGGTCGTAGTGCCGCTGTCCGGGCAAAATTTCCCTCATAGCACACTGTATGGCGTATGCCCATCTTCATTAGCCCAGTTCGGAGCAGAACAGTAGGACGTTAAACTCCATTTCATTTCATTTACTTTTGTGTTCCTTTTCAGTCTGGACATTCGGGACTAGATTACGTTATGCTGCCATCACGGTGAATACGACGTTACAGGCTGGAAAACTCGGGTTCGAGAAAGGTCTGGTAACGGTGGAAGCCTGGGAAAAATTCGTCAACGACGAGGTATGGTTAAATAATATTGCGGTGTTGGTAGACGTGTTCGTATATTGTTATCACCCATGTGGATCATTCGGTCACTCCACAATTCCGTTCGTAACGTATATCGCCCGGGAGTACTAAGAATGACGTAACGATGTCCCGCCTTATCAATTTTGAGAGTTTTGGCCAGGGCTGTCTTAACTCCGTTATAGCCTCCATGATCCTGAAGCAACGACAGCACGCTCGTGGGACCCCCGGGCAGCGGCTCAGCATGCCCATGCTTTAAGTCGGTCCTGTGTTTGGAAAAGTTACAGCTTTACTCCGCTTACCTTGATTAGCGTCATAGAATTACGAAGTCTCCTATTTTTCTACGATCTGAATAATCTAAAAAACAATGGTCCATTGCCCATCTGATTCCCCGGTTGTACGTGACAAGAAGTAGGGTCGCCTGTCCAACCTCGTGGGTTTTCTCCGGGTCCTCCGGTTTCCTCCCACTGCTAAAGACCTCTGCCCGCAAGTGAATTATTGAAATAAAATTGAACCATATGTTAGTCCCGAAATGACCTAATTTGTGTCGAGTGGAAGTTACTCTGTATTATTTTATATTCTAGGTTGCTAAGTTACCGCCATCATTATCTGGGGGATTTCAGTGTACACCTGACCGTGGAAATACGTGGCACTGGCTCAAAGTACAGAAGGTAGTCCATTATTATAATTATTATTATTATTATTATTATAAAGTATGTAGGTTATTGTTAGGATATGAAAGACAATTTTTACACGAGATTTAAGAGTTTTCTCCCTTCACATTTTAGGCGATATTTATCGCCAAAATGTTGTTTAGCTACTAGAAGATACACTTAAAGATACATTATGGGAGATATTTATAGGGAGTTGGCCATTCTTGCTATAACAGTTCAAAATTAGATGATGAAAGAAGAATATATTGAAAAATTCAGTCAAATTACTTTATTCTGAACATAGTTATCATCGTTGTAATATTTGCCTAGAAATGGTAGCGAAATGTGTCTTCACCTTCGCCGAACGTTTGATTGACAGGCGTTAACTCCACCTACATATCTCGATTATCAAGTAAAGTTTTCAATGGCATACGGAAACGCTTTACAGCGGCCTCGCTAAGTACACTCTATCATTTAGCCTCGATCTAACTGACGTATTTTCATCAGGTTACCCCTTATCTGATTTAATCAATTAGTGAAATCCTATTTAAATCCGAGCTGTAGCCGAGCCATCCGTGGGTCTACAGAGTTGATTTTGGTCTTGTTGTTTAAATAAAGATCTAATTTATAATTTCTATAACATCTGAAGCCTAAATTAAGACTTGCAATAATCAGATTTAGCTCTTGCATGTTTAAAGGACAATATTGGTGTCAGTCATTATCACATATGTGATAGAACTAATTAAACACGTTCCGAATATAATTTTAACACAGAGATCATACTGGTAATACAGGTTTCCTTAATCGGTAGTGACGAACGCCAAAGGAAAACACGAAGAATCTAACTATATAACTGACTGAAGTGACGAGTGATAACAGATACATGGGCGAATATCTGCTTACTAATAATTCCTTCCAAGACCAAAAGTTGTTGTGTGAGACTGTGAGAGGATATCTGACAATTCATAAAAAGAATTGACTGCCACTAGATATGAGAACACGAAAGAAAAACAGAAAAAGTCCGTGTATTACCATGTTCTTATAAGGTATTATGAATATAAACAAAGGAATGTCCGGACTTTTTCTATTTTTTTCTCGTGTTCTCTTATCTAATGACATTAAATTACCTTATTGAATTGTCAGGTATCCTCTTACAGTCCCGTATAACAACTTTTGGTCTTCGAAGGAATTATTAGTAAGCAGAATTTGGCCGTGATCTGTTATCACTCGTCACATCAGTCAGTTATATAGGGGCATGACTCGTGTTTTCCTTTGGCGTTCGTCACTTCCGATTCAGGAAACCTGTATTACTCAGCTATCGTAGCAATGATCTCTGTGTTAAAATTATATTTGGAATGTGTTTAACTAGCTGTGATAATGACCGGCACCAATATTGTCCTTTAACAAACCATATGATTGATAACCGCGGTTATTTGTTCTGTAGGCATTTAATTTTATTGGCTAGCACGTCATACCTGCCAGCCAATCAGCAGTTAAAACATAATGTTGATCTTTGAGTGCAACGGATCCAGTGAGGGGAATTATAGCTTGAAACTTGCACGCATGTTTTAAATGTATATGTAGACGATATTTGTCACCTCAAAACATTCCTGTTTCAAAAGCCTGATGTATCAATAATCAGTGAATATAACAACCAGTAGCTCCATAGAAACTGTTCCTATTAACGCGCTTTATAAATGACGATGTTATTAATATTGGGGAGCCGCGGTGCCTCAGTGAGTAAGACGTTGGCTGGCTAACCTGAAGGTCCCGTGTTCGATCCCGGTGTTGGCCGAGAACGTTCATCGTGATTTTCCGGCTTGGTTCCCACATGTGGGACGAAAAAGCGACATCCCATGTACACATTGGCGTGCACGTAAAAGAATTACTATAAGAAGTTGGAATTCGTAATTCGCGTCATAGCTCAGTGCATGGCGCATGCCCGTTTTCATTAATTCATGGCCGGTTAGGGAGGATCGGAAATGGCCGATTTATATAAATAAGTATTTAGGAGAATACTAACCCTAACCCCTTTAAGAGTGGTAAAAGGTAAATTGGGTCCAAATTCAGGCTTCTAAAAAGGGTTAGGGTTAGTTTATATAAAGCGGCCATTGTGGACTCCCCAAACCTCCCCAACCGGCCAACAGCATCTCCCGTCTCACGGAGACGTGATGGACGATAAGGGGAGGTAAACTATACCGTTCTACCTGGAGGCAGACCACCTTCAACTTTTCCCCAAATTTTCGTTGGACTGAATGCTTTTCACTACAGACAGAGGAACAAATGGTCATGTCTTTGCATTAAAATTTGTATGAGGTTGACCACCAAAATTTTGAGATACACAAACTTGAAGAAGCATACTAAAAACATGTAACTAGTTGCCGTACATATCACTGTAGCCAACCTGATAACCCTGTTATTCTTCCACCTCAAAATCATGAATATTTACCAAAACCTGGCAGAAAATGTTAATTCAAACCCTCTTCGTCCATTCTAGACCAAAAAATCAACAAAAATGGGCATGCAGAAGGGGAGAAAGGAGACAGAGAGAGAATTGCTTTAAATAGACGAACTACAATTTGTGTCAAATTTAATGGTGGTCTGCCTCCACCTCATGTATTGATGGCCGATAAGGGGAGGTAACTATACCGTTCCAGGTTCTGTATAATAGTATTCTTTTTTTTATATTTCAGTCTTTAGTTTTCAGTGCTATACAGGGAATTATTATTGGTATTGCCTTAGCCTTGCCAATCCTCACCATAGCAACACAAAACTTCATCCTTGGTTCCTTAGCAACGTTAACGATTATGTGTGTAACTGTTACAGTCGTTGGTATCATACCATTGGCAGGCTGGAAATTGGGGGTCAGTAAACCATTTGTTTCTATTTCTAGACAGATTATGCACGAAATTGTAAATCACCATGGTAATTTGAAATATTAATTCTAAGAAAAGTACTGCAGACTGTAAATTAAACAGCGGTGGACATGTTACATCGGAATATCATGACGTCATTCAACAAAAAAGACTTGAAGCTGGCGATTAACGTATACTCTTGAAAAAAAGTAGGGGATATGGAAATGCAAATACCTATGCAGGTTGTGATATGATAAATAGTCATGGACACTTGACATGCTTTGGGAGTATGTTCACAGATGAAGAACTCATGCCCCAACAGAACCTCTGAGCTGCATGTGCGACACGCAATGGCGCCATACACGTGGGAGGGGTTCATTGTCAAATTTGACAGGGTTGATGAAAACTGCCGCTTGCTGGTTTATCCTATCCATGTTTGCATAAGATTTACTGTTTAGCGTATCTTTGCTTTAGTGTGTTACGTTTAATTGGTCGAGAGACGTGTTCGTCGACGTCGACGTGAACCAACAATACTGCAAGAATTGGCCGTGGCACTGCAAGAGGAGTGGGTCAGATTGCCCCAAATCGTGATTGGGCGGTTGATTAGGAGTATGCCACGACGAGTCGCTGAATGCCTGAGGATTGGTGGAGCAATTACTCATTATTAAGACAAAAATCAAAAACGTCAATTTTCACTTTTGACAGTGTATCTCTTTTCGAGTGAAATGGGGCCGTCAGATAAGCCGCCCATATGAACTGTTCATGTTCATGTGTAGGCAATTGGCCTATTATTAACATACACTGGTTACCTCTAATAAAAACAGCAGTGCATTTCCGCAGTTTTGTATTGTTTCTGAATATCCCCAACTTTTTTTGAAGAGTATCGCCGCTGTCAGGGCAAAATTTCCCTCATAGCACACTGTATGGCATATGCCCGTCTTCATTAGCCCAGTTGGGGAGCAGAACAGTAGGACGTTAAACCCCATTTCATGTCATTACCTGATTTCTTTCTGTTTACTTCCAGGTACTGGAGTCCCTGAATCTGTCATTGGTGGTCGGGCTGGCTGTGGACTATGTTGTACATTTGGCGGAAGGATATCATATATCTAAACACACAGATAGGAGAGGGCGACTAAGAGACATGTTAGAAAATGTCGGAATATCTGTTTTATCCGGCGCGTGCACAACTTTAGGTGCTTCATTATTTATGCTAATGGCGGAAATTTTATTTTTCATGCAATTTGGTATATTCATGTTTTGCACAATAGGATTTTCTCTGATTTATTCCTTGGTATTTTTTACTGTTATGCTTGGCATATGCGGGCCACAAAATCAGACTGGCTCTATTACTCCGTTAATCACGTGGGTTAAAAATAAGCTCACTGGTCGAAACAAATATGACGTAGACTGTGACGTATGCGAAGGCCATGGATTTCGCGCACCTGTGAAAAATGGTGAATAAAATTCTGTAAAATTTGTGAGTAAAATTTATATTTATTTTGAGCATGGACGGGAAATTGTAGTTTGGTTGCATTCTTGGATACAGGCACTAAAATTTGCATCACGTTACCCAATTAAAATTTCAAACTTTGACTATCAGTTTTCAAGATGGTTTTGGCTTTTCTTTCATAGAATTTTTACCCACTGGACCGACTAAGAAGATTTTTATACGCCAACATTTACCTGTGGAGGTACATGTATTATGTTGTCGCCCATGTACGTTTTCCCGGACACCCGTTCACATATGTTTGTGGGCACACTTGAGGTCAAAAGTCTTATCCGATTTTGATGAAACTTAAAAGCTATGTTTATTTCCAAAAGATCTTGGATGCGTTCGATTTTGGTTGACATCAAGCAGCCTTTTCTTGGCTTATGGCCCATGTGAATTGTACAAGTTATATGGACCCTCAATTGTTGTCCAACAACATATATGTTGGCATCGATGAAATATGACCATTGGGTGTGATTTTATCGCAAAAACGATATTTTCGTTGCCCGAAAGTCAACCATTTTGTATATGGACGCCATCTTGGATTTAAGAATGACTAATGGGCTTTTTCAAAGCAGTAGTCCCCAGGAAGTAATTGTGCCAACATTATTTTAAATATATATTTATCCGTCCTGGCTGTAAATAGTGTCTATAGGCCTACTTAAAATGTAAATTTTGTATATAATCTAAAAGCCGACGCCCGTGCGCTCCCGAATATCAGCGCACATGCATCGGTATTAAAGCCACGCATATTAGTTAGTTATGGTACATGTTTCAGCAACAGTTATTATTGTTGGTTTTTAAAGTGCTATCTGAAATATTTTTAGACTTTTAAAAATTGCCATTTATGTACGATTTATATATGAAGAGCCCCGGGGAAGAACGATCTAAGTCACCTTTTCAACGAACCCCAGTTAATAGCGCCACCTGGTAGCAAATTGTATGAGCTTTCTGTGGAACAATCTATTTCCGGTAAAAACGATCTGAGTCACATCTAACCAAGGCCCTTCTGAAATGGCCTTATTGTATTTTATTAACCTTAATTTGGCTTAAAAGTGGAAGTCAGTTATTGTACTGGTAATTATGATTTGTATTAAACATCATTTTGAAGTTGTAATTAAACACACTCGTTGTTCTGTTCGCGTCAAGCATTCTCGTCCAAAAGTCGGTTTTGCCTTTTATGCGAAAAAGACAAAAATGTGACTTAGATCGTTCTTCCCCTAGAAAAAAAACCAATTAAAGACAGACAATTTGACAGACAGTCGACGAGGACTAAGACACTTACAATATACGTTTTGCCCCGAGCGATTATTGCTATTTATAGTAAGTTACATTTCTAGGAGACATGCTTCTTTCTAAAAAAACTTTCATCAATTGTGTTTATAATTGTCCTATTTATCTTTGTAATGGCCATGTTTATCATTGTAATTGTAATGTTTACCTTTGTAATTGTTATGTTTACCTTTGTAATTGTTGTTTACCTTTGTAATTTTATGTTTATCATTGCAATTGTTATGTTTATCACTGCAATGGTCATGTTTATCATTGTAATTGTCCTATTTATCATTAGAATTGTCATGTTTATCATTATAAATGCCCTATTTATCATTGTAATTATCATGTTTATCATTGTAATTGTCCTATTTATCATTGTAATTGTCATTCTTATCATTATAATTGTCATTATTATCATGGTAATTGTCATTTGTATCATTGCAATTGTCATATTTATCATTATAATTACCGTGTTTATCATTGTAATTGTCATGTTTATCACTGTAATTACCATTATATCATTGTAATTGCCATTCTTATCATTGTAATTGCCATTCTTATCATTTTAATTGTGTTTTCATCATTGTTACTGATTTATGTGCTTAATAGTCACCGACACTGGTGTTACCTGCCACGCACACAATCTACCTTAATACCATTTACTATTCTATTTGTTTTTTTCAATAAATATTTAAATATTTACATTAAATTGGTGCAAATCATGTGATAAAATTAAAAATGTATTCATATTTTAAACATCATTTTAAAATATTATGTTGCTAAGATACTGCTTTGTATTATATTTTGTGCAGTGTGTATTTTAATAATGATTAACAACATTCAAGATGCTTTCGTTTTTTTATGCATTAATATGTACTTGCGAAAATCGTCCTACTATATACAAATGGACATTGGTATACCTTCTGCGAATAGTTGTATAATATTTTATCGATAGTGGCGATTATAAATAGTGTAATTATTTTTTCGATACTCGGGATCATAAACATGTGAGAAAATATTGTAAAATATTTTTTCGATAGTCGACATCTTAAACATACCAAGAACGTCAATATTATCTGTTTTGCCCAAAACAATATAATATGTAAGTTTTGAAGCGAAATGAAATGAAATGGAGTTTTACGTCCTACTGGATAATGAAAAATCAAAATATTGAAAATTTCATTCAAATTATTTCTTTCTGAGTCAAGTTATCACTGTTTGTAGTTCTGACAAGATGTGTGTATTGTGGTAACAAGGGCACTGGTATATTCGAGACTTAGCCTCGCTTTCCCATTTTTAAATTAAAATTTTAAATGGCAAACCGTTCTAATCTAGTTAAAATCTTGAGTATCCGATGCCATCGAGAGTTGATTATGGTCTAGAGATTTTAATAATTTAGATAACATTTCCGGCCCAAAGAAAGACCTGCAAGAGGCTGATTTAGCTCTTGCATAATGTATATTTGAACAATCTCCAAATTTTAATATAGTTGCCATCATACTAAACTATGCATGAGTGGGCCCTATTATGGGTGGCGCGTGCTAAACAAAGCATGAGTGGGCGCGAGCTTTGGTAGGCCTACACAATATGCAAGTATTGGAACCCAATATGCACGTATTGCACGTGTTATAATTGTAGAATACTGTCAAAATAAATACTGTTTTAAGCCATGTCACAACTCTTTGGCAGTCTGTATTTGAGTCTATGCATTGGCCATTGTACAAGGGCTAAATCTGAGAATTGCCGGTCTTTTTCCTTGCTTCAAATTATCAATTATTATTTACGCATTTATTCACATAATCAACTATATTGAATATGATTTTGTGATTAGGCCGTCCGTGCCATGTATTCGGTTATCGTTAGAATGGACCTCACTCAATAGTCCGTCGCTATAAGAAATACTATAAATATGAGTATCAATACACCTGACCCTAACCCTAACCCTAATAATAGATATCGATGGACCAATGAACCCGCGGACTAGTGAGCATTCTCCCAATAAAAGGAGTGACAATCGAGACTTCGTTTATTAGCCCGCGCCGAACGTAGTTAGGGAGGGATATTGAAACGAGGTCCGTCCGTCTGTTCCGATTTCGTTTCCGGAGCATATCTCATAAACCATTCAAGATATCTTTATGAAACTTTGTACACACATCAACCTATTACAGTAGTTGTGCGTTTTGCTATTTAGAATTTTCTGGGATTGATATTTTGTGTGTTTCCATGGAAAAAAATTTGGCTTAGTTTTTGGTGTTCAAATTTGTTTACAGAGTATATCTCATAAACCATTCAAGAAATCTTCATGAAACTTTCTACAAACATTAACCTATTATATTAGTTGTGCCTTTTTGCTAATTTGGAATTTCTGGGATTTAATTATTTTTGTGTTTCCATGGAAACAAATTTGACTTAGTTTTTATGGACAATTTTGTTTCCGGAGCATTTTTCATAAATGTTCAAGCTATCTTTTTGAAACTTTAGATACACATCATCCTATTACAATAGTTGTGCTTTTTGCTAATTAGAAATTTGTCGGATTTAATCATTTTTGCGTTTCCATGGAAAAAAAAATATCTGTTGAATGATTTTTACTACACATTTGAATTATTTTTTGGTATATAATTATTATCATAGAGCATATCCCAGAAACTGTTCAAGATACCTTTATAACACTTTTACATTGATCAAACTATTATTTTATTTTTTGATGACCTTACTTCTGTCCCGATTTCATTTCTAGAGCATATTTCATTATCTGTTCAAAGAAATCTTTTAAAACTTGATACAAACATCAAACTATTCAAGTATTTTATTTTCTGATGTATAAGCTTAATGTTTAACATACAGCAGCTGATTGAGGTAGGCAAAGGTTGTTGTGCAAACCTTACAGGGAGTAGCGACTTTGCCTTGCCGAGCTACTATGATCAGAGTATGAATCTTCTGACTAGTCCCATTGATATTCCAAGAAGTTGTTTTTCCTTATGCCTTCCAAAAAAGTTCAAGGGCGCGGGATGGTGATGACCAGTCATCTTGTTTTTATGGCAGTGGTATACATGACAATCGGCTACTTCTTGTCAAAACTTTATACACTCATAAAGTAATTTGACTGAAATTTTCTAAACATTCATTTTGCAATATATCTATTTTTAAACTATTATAGCGTTAACTGTCAGCTCGGTATCGAATTATTACATAATGGCACTTTAATTACAATATTTTTATGAACAGGCATGTCTTTAAATAATTAAAACATCAAGATAATGCTGTTTTGGTCCATAAATTTGTGAGCTGGCATATATTTAAATATTCTAGTTTTATATTTTACGAACATTTTGTAGAAGGTAAGATTATTTTGTGATTATAAAATACAGGTAATATATTATTTTGTGATTATAAAATACAGGTAATATTATTTTGTGATTATAAAATACAGGTGATATATTATTTTGTGATTATAAAATACAGGGAATATTATTTTGTGATTATAAAGTGAAGGTAATAATGGAAAGATTATTTTTTAATTATTAAATATAAAATGCCAATCTAATTACAACACAGGTGGGTTGGGTGGCCGAATGGTTAACGCGTGCGCGTTGAATTATAAGGTCTGTCATTGAGTCAAGTGGCGTGGTTTCGATCCCTCGTTTGTACGTGACAAGTAGTAGGGTCGCTCGTCAAACCTCGTAGGGTTTCTCTGGTTCCTCCGGTTTCCTGCCACTGTTAAAGACCCCTACGTGCAAG